CTTTAACTCCTTTGCAAAGTTGATGCGGTTTAAAAAAGATAAGCAGCTTTGCATTAGATTTCTTCATGGAAGTGCATTGAATGTGTTAAGGTTTGATGTCCATGTAGAATCGATATTGATTCTTGAAAAATATCAGCGGCAGAAGCGAACTGCAACCTCGGATCACTCATAGTGCTTTAGGTTTCGTTTGGGGCGGCTTTTTTTATTATCTTCTTAAAATAGCTTTCTAATTTAAAATTGAAAAATTTTATGCTAAAAAATTACTTTAAGAAGCAATAAGAAAGCCGTCCCAAACAAAACTTTAATTGAACGATTAGTGTGTTGGAGTTGAGGGGAATGGGATGTGAAATAAGCAAGCTTTCATTCCTGTGGATGGGAAACGGAGAAGGAAATATTGATGGATAGGCCAGGCCTTGAAGGATTTAAAAGATAATTGAATATACTCTTGTTTCCCTTTGACATCTCATCGTTGAAAACTTTGCCACTAGTTTTTAAGTGGGATGTTGATGTTGAACTATAGGTATTTTTAGTCTTCTTTATTTTTAGAAAGGTTTCTAGACGGATATGTTTAAAGCCAGCAGGATTGTAAGTCTAAATTATCTAAAGCTTGGTGATTTATTTCAAGCTATCGTTCTTATTGGTGCTAGTGTTGTGATTTTTCTATAATGAAAGGGATTGAGTTGGAAGCTTGCTGATGCAAGATGGGACGGCAGGACAGTTTGTCTTATGGGATTGGAGGAATTAATATAATAAGGATTTTCTATGGTTCTGAAGAACTATAATAAGCTATGAGGTGTTTGAAAATGCTTATCGCTTGTAGCCGTGCTCCAGTTTACTTTGACCTACTCATATTACTGTAGATAAGCATACAAGATTAAGACTTCGTTTGGGACGGATTTCTTCCTGCTTCTTAAAGCGATTTTTTAGTACAAAAATTAAAATCCATGTACTAGAAAGCCGCTTTAAGAAGCAGGAAGAAAGCCGTCCCAAACGAAGCCTA